TAAGCTTGTGTCACTTTTGCTTTGAGAAAGTAAAACACTGACAACCAGAACAGAAACAAACAAAAGACAGAGTTTCATTGCTGACAGAGGCTGAAAGAGATCTCCAAGTGTGAATAGAAAGCAAGATGGCATTCTTCACATTTCCTCATTTGTTTGTTTCTACTTAAAGATTTGATTAGAGTGTAAGCAGTTGGCAATCTTTTGGGAGCTGAAGGTTACATTCAACATTTCAAAGATTAGGTGACAAAATGATTCAAAGCATTTAAAGTATGCCACACATGCATGGGACCAATATTCTCATTTTTGTTTGACTATATCCTTCTGGGCTTTTGGCAGGAGAAATTTGCTTTTTAAAAAGCCCATTTAATGACTACATTATATTTTTGAGTATTTTCCACTTCCTGTTTTCAGTCTGTTCCATTGCTGAACAGTTCTTACCATTAGGACTTCCTGATTTCTATCTAACTGAAATTTAATTCCTTGTAATTTTGCCCTGTCTCTTACATTAGAGATCTTCAGATACTTGAAAACATCTATCATGTTTTTGTGGAATCTTTTCTTCCCCAGTTAAATACCAGTATCTAGTCTCCAACTATTCTTTATACATTTTCCCCTTCCTGACCTTGATTCCTTTCTTCTGGATATTCTCTAGTTTATCAGCATCCTTCTTAAAATGCATTAGCCAGAGGTGGAAACATCATTCTAGATATGATCTGACCAAAATAGAACAGAGAAGAATTATAGCTTCCCTTGCTTTTGTTACTATGCTCTTACTGCAATGGCCTGCAAATTGAAGTTCTGAAAGGGAGATTCTGGAGAATCACATAAAATGAATGACTTTGTCACTTTAAATCAGGAGTCATTGAAGCAACAGTTCACTATCTTCTCTACTGTCAATCCTGCCAAGATTTGCAACACAAATTTATCACACCACCATTAAATCAGCATCAAGCTGCACAGACTCTTTTTATTTCAATTATCTTTTAGCTGACCAGAGTGATGCACTCTAATAATGTTGCCAAGTTTTGATTAGATTCAACATGACTTCACTAAGAACAGTTTGTCTTGATTAAACCTATTCCAAGTTTAGTAATAACAATAACTGAACTTTTTTTATCTGTTTCTAGTTATAAGAAAGGTGTTTTGACTAAACCCTTAGCTTGATGTTCAAGAAAGTTTTACTTATGTTGGCTGCATTCAATTTATTTTTTATTCAATTTTATTATCATATTTTATTTTATTGTTTTATGTTATGTAAGACTTGGCAGTGACCAAAATAAACTATTTTTTGCTCTTGACGCCTTCCTCTGTTGATACAGTCCAGGCCTAGAGTAGGAATCTTGGTGCCACATAGAATGTTGAGGATTCCATTTGTGTGCTGCATTTAAATTTCCCATCTCTGGTGATCTTTCTAAAAAATCTTACACTTTCTTTCAGCCACTGTATTTTTGTGAACGTGGGAGTGTTTGCAACTCTGATTCTACTTCTTTTTCATTTCAGACGTTTTGCTGTTAGCTCAGTATCTGCAATTTCTTCAACTCTCTAGCCATTTAAACTCCAGAGAAGCTAGAGAGGTATGCATCTAATATCTAACCAATGTTCTTGTTACTGCTGGTTTGAAAAAATGATGCTGTCAGTCTGTACAGTATATGGATCAAGAAAAAAGTGAAACTAACAGTTTATGATAAGTTACATTTCTTCCTTGCCTGTAGATGAAAATAGAAGTGTGGGTTTGTTTAATACTACCAGGCAGTAGAGAGATTTCTGTTTTTCTTTGCTGCCATCTAGTGGTCTCCAGATTTTTGCACCCAGATCTGTTATTCCTACCAAAGATACAGTATACGTTGTGCTCAAAAGTCCTAGGTTCAGTATTCTGTATACTGGAAGGGCAGAAAACTCTGTGAATACAGCCAGACAGCTATATAAAAGTGCAATACAGCAGTCCTTCAAATAGCAGAAAAATATGCTAGGATAAATGCCATAAATTATTTTGGCTTATTGACAAAGCTAGCTTTTTTGAGCACAGATCATCTTTTTCTTTCTTTCAAAGCGAGTGCTAGACTCATGTTCAAAGAGAGCTGGCAGATCACAAACACAGAGGAAATGTTATGAGAAGCATCTAGTGAACTTTTTCAGCTTCATCTTGTACCCCTCTTTGTGCCTGTGATTGGTCAGCTGGAATGACAGATATAGAGAAGCGTGGGGTGAAGTAGGAGGAAGCAATCAGTAACTACTCTTGATGAGTTCATACTTTTTCCACATGTAATGAAGCCATCAATGCTGTTTCAGTATTGTCGGCATACAATCCTAAATATCTACCTACAGTCTAATATTATCAGGGGTGTGACATTGTTTCATAAAACTGTTTGTACTGGATGAATTATTGTTGGTAGTACCTCTTATCTGTATCAAAGAGAGGCAAGTCCTTACACCATCTGTCAAAATCTTTGTCTCCACAATTTAAAAAAAAAGATGTCAGATAATTTTTACAATCCTTCCCTATTTTTAAAATAAGTTATATGTGCTTTTTAGAAAGAAAAAAAGAACTGAAGGCAATATATCGTAGAGGACAGTGCCCAGCAAGTAAATGAAAATGGCCATTAGTGGCAGGCACATGCCAGCTCCTAACGATTTGGTCATCAACCAAAACTTAATGAAGCATGCTAGATTGTATCCAGTGGTGGGTTTTAAAACTTTTTACTACCGGTTCTGTGGGCGTGGCTTGGTGGGCGTAGCATGGCATGGCTTGGTGGGCATGGCAAGGGAAGGAGACTGTAAAATCTCCATTCCCACCCCACTCCAGGGGAAGGATACTGAAAAATCTCCATTCCCACCCCACTCCAGGGGAAGGTGATTGCAAAATCCCCATTTCCTTCAGCTGGGACTTGGGAAGCAGAGACTAGATGGGGGCGGGGCCAATCAGAATTTTTACTACTCAAAATTTCCGCTACTGGTTCTCCAGAACTGGTCAGAACCTGATGAAACCCACCTCTGATTGTATCCCTAAGAAAAACTGGGCTGAGAAGAGGGAAAATACTACTTCAAACTGGAACAAAGCTTCATCAACTGTGGGAAGAAAAAGAAACATGTAACATGCTGAGGACATTTCATATAAACAAAATGTCCATGTCCAGATAGATGAACATCGGGATGACTCTATGCTGACCAAGAAATTAGTTTTATTCTGTATAAGTCAGGTTCCTGTTGTTGCTACATTTGTACATCATACTATTACAAAATATAATGTATTACTTTGGGGCCAGCATGTTGGATTAACTCCATCATTATGTCTTATTCTATAAGTCATAGTTAAAAAATATATAGTTCAGTGTACTATACGAACCCAGTTTTTATGTAGTTTGTAGTCCTTCTAAATTTAGTACCTAGAAATGTCTTAAACGCTGACTAAGCAATATTGACATTACACCAGACTAAACAGGATATCGCTGGATCCATTGTATTATCAGGGTCAGGAAACCAACTTCTTTGTTCCTTTACCCAATTTTATGGAATCAATGATTCTGAAATGTTTTAAATACATAATAAGTTATGGCAGCCTTTTACTACTTGATGCTTCTAGAAATGTTGGAACTTCATGTCAGAATTCCAATAATGACACACTTGGGGAATGCTAGAGTAGATAACATCCAGCCTTCCCCAATCTTAGTGGAAATTTTAGCTGTTGTCTATGTATTTCTACAGCATATATAAAAATATAAACCATTGAAATGGAGAGGAAAGAAGGAAGGACAAGTTTTCTACTACAATTTATAGGAAGGAAAAAAATATATTAACAAAACCAAATGACAGTTTATTAACTCATTTCATTTTTCAACTTCAGTAGCAAATGTACTGTCTTTCATTTCCAGTACAACACTTTCAGAATGACTTGCTCTGAGATCTGGACATGTTCTGACGGCAAACTGACACCTTCCAAGGTAACAACTGACTTCAGACAATTTGCACATTTCTACTGGTGTTCAGAATGTTAGCTTTTTAAGTCTTCCTTGGTATATCTGTAGAAGGTTGCCAAGTAATAAAAGTACCATCCCACTCCAATTTAGATAAATTTGTAAAATCACACTTAGACTTTTAATCAGATATAAGTTAAAAACTGAAGAATATAATCCCTTTTGAGAGGAGCAATAAATTAAGTCAGAGAATGTCTTAAAAACTTATCGCACTGGAGTGTCTTAATAACTTACCGCACTGGAATGTCTAATATCTTCTTTTTCTCTTATCATTGCCTATTAAAAGCATTTGGTTGCCACTTCCAAAATATTAATTGCTCATTAAGATCCATTGCTGCTCTGTACTTGTAAGCTTTTCTAATTTATACTGAATATTGTACTTATTTCCATCTTCCTTTTAAATATTTGTAACCAACAAAGCAGCACTCGTGTTAAAAACAAACTATATTAAAACTATCTTAAGAATTAAAAGTTGAATTTATTAAATTTAAGATTAAAAGTCGAATTAAAAATCGACTTTTGAAGATAAGGTGGCAGTATCTTTAACTGCAGCATCAGATGTCTATGGAGATTCTCAGTCATCCAGGTCAGGAGTCTCCAACCTTGGCAACTTTATGACTTGTGGACTCCAACAAGTTGAAGTCCACAAGTCTTAAAGTTGCCAAGGTTGGAGACCCCTGATCCAGATCATGGTTGTCCCACAAAGGTGCTTTTTTTTTCAAGAGGCAGCTGGACTTTGTTTTTCTTTGAAGACTTTCGCTTCTCATCCAAGAAGCTTCTTCAACTCTTCTTCAGACCGAAGTTCAGAACGTGTTCTGGTTATAAACTAACCAGTAACAAGTAAACAGTCTTCCAAATGTTTTTTTTTTTTTTAAACGTCCATTCGAATTTATTGCGGAGAAAAGATCGAGAACGAAAAAAACGAGAAACCAACAAACAAACAAAAAAACGGCGGAGACTTCTCTGACGCCCCAAGCCCCTCCCCCTCAAGGACGGAACGGAAAGTCCAGGGTACAAATTCCCGGCCGGCGGAGGAGGAAGGTTGCACGCAGAGCGGAATATCACTGCGCTCCCCGCGGTTTCCGCTCCCCTGTTCTTTTTCTCTTCCTTCCTTTCTCCGCTGTTGCCGAGATCCCGGATCCAAGATGGAGTCTCTAAATAAAGCGGGGCAAGAGATGAGCCTGGCGGCCTTAAAGCAGCACGACCCCTACATCACCAGCATCGCCGACGTGACCGGCCAGGTGGCCCTTTATCGCTTCAGTCCAAAGGCCAACGAATGGGTGAGTCAGTGGCCTCCAGGCCGAGCGGGGCGGAGGGTCTCGAGGATTGCGTGGCTCCCGACACCGCTTCCCACGGCGCGCCTTAACGGTTGTTGGGGCGCCTCCGGTTTCTTGCCCTCCCTCGACGGAGCGAGCCTCTTGCTGGGTTGGTGGAAGGAAAGGAGGGCGACTCTTTCTAGCCCCGTCCCTCTGCGGCGCGGAGCCGCTCCTCAAGGGGAGAGCTCCGAAACACACCCACTTTCTCGAGGCAACTGGTCGCCGTTGGTCGTTCCGCCTCTTCCTCGCAATACGGTGGTTCTCAGCGCTCAAGTAATTTGGGGTCCTGCGTATCAGCCCTCCGCTGCTTTTCAGGTACTCCACGGGTTAAAATGAGGTTAAAGCTGAGCTGCGGTGGTAGCTAATCACTAACAGCAATTCCCCTCAGAAGTGATGGTTATGTAGTTGGCCTGTTTCGCAGATAAACGAAATGGCTGCTCCTGGGCTCTCGACCTGTGTGGTCGTCCAGGTCATGATTGATCCAAAGGTGTTTTTTTTTTTCTTCAAAAGGCAACTGGACTTTCTGGTTTTTCTTTGAAGAGGTTTCACTTCTCATCCAAGAAGAAGCTTCTTCAGCTCTGACTGAACTGAATGGAATGGAAAGATTCTACCATCCAGTCAGAGCTGAAGAAGTTTCTTCTTGGATGAGAAGCAAAACGTCTTCAAAGAAAAACCAGAAAGTCCAGAAAAAAAAAAAGCACCTTCGGGTGCTTTCGATCTATGGATTATTCAACCTGTATGGAAATTCAGTATGGATGCTAAATATGAAAAATCTTTCAGAATTTAAGAACAGCTCTGTGCAATACTGTGGCTACTAAAAATGTTGTATTCTGATATGTACTCCGTCTGCTTATGGTGTACAGAAACGTTAAAAATACCTCAAATGTAAAATGAGTCTTGGCAACTTACTGTATGTTGTGGTGGTTGTTTTTTTTTTTTCTTTCCTTCCCTGTCCTAGCAGGAATCATATTCTTGCATTAAAAATTGCATTAGTTCTTGCAGGTATGGAATTGTGAAATGTTGGTTAATGCCATATTCAAACATGAAATAAAATATTTAATCTTTGATGGGCATGAAAACTGGATGTGGCATTGAACCTTTTGTACACTATTCCATTCATAAATCCTAACTATAGCAACTTTAGGACTTTTCCCTTCAGATAGTTGAGGATATTTTGAACATGTAGTAGCAAAGCTGTAGAGGGTGTAGGGAATTGCTTTGAAGGACAGGAGGAAGAGCCTCTGTCTACTAACACAAGTGGGGATTGAGCCCATTCCAAGAAACTAATTTGAGTAAACATCCTAGATTTTTCTAGAACTCTTCCTAGATTGCACAAAGATAAAGTGAGGAAGCTGGAGGAAACATATCGAGATTTGCAAGATTCTGCTACTTTACGATAAAAGGAGTCCTGACCGATATGGTATAGGTTTCTTAATCTGGTCTACCTGATATTGCTCTATATAGGGTAAAAAGTTGATAAACCTCTCTCAGAAAGCTCCTGGGAACTATACCTCCTAACTACTCTCCCTGACTTAGTACAGTAGTTTGGTAATACTGTTGCCACCACCTATTTTTCAGGGAAGCACTTCACCTATGTTCTCTCTGTAATCGTGTTTTGTTGTGTCCCTACAATTTGATTTTGTTTTGTGGGAAATTAAATGGGGCACGGAATGAAATAAATTGTATAGTGCCCCATAGCACTGAGATACATAGCTGGTGAAACCACTTCCTTCCCCATCCCTTTGTAGGAAGATGAACCAATCTCTTATGAGGTAAATAAAAATAAAATAAAATGTAATTTAAAAAGAAACAGGTAATATAAGAAATCTTTTTAAAAACTTTAAATATATTTATGTGGAAAAGAGTATAATATAGAGCAGGAGTGTCAAACTTGCGTCGTCACGGCATCACGTGACATATTGGGGCTTTCCCTCCTTTGCTAAACTGTGCGTGGACGTGGCCAGCTTGTGACACATCCAAGACGCAAGTTTGACAGCCGTGATATAGAGCTTTCCAATTACAAATAATTTAGAAGATATAAAGGGGGTGGGAATCAGGTGTGTCTGACACACCAAAAGATTATACTGTTTTGTTCCTAATTTGAATAATTTCTACTTGAAAGAAATACTCAATGACATAAAGCAAACAGTAATTGAGTTTGCATAGAGAAACTAAACACTAGAGAAAGAAATTAAACTTAAATAACACATGCTAAAAAAGGAATAAATTGAGCTCAAATATAGCACATGCTGAAAAAGTAATACAGGTAGTCCTCAATTTACGACCACAATTGAGCACAAAATTTTTGTTGCTAAGTGAGACATTTGTTGCATTTTGTTCCATTTTATGACTTTTCCTGCCATAGTTATTAAGTGAATCACTGCAGTTGTTAAATTAGTGACACATTTGTTAAATGAATCTGGCTTCCCCATTGACTTTGTTTGTCGGACATTCGCAAAAGGTGATCATGTGACACTGGGACATTGCAACCTTTATAAATGTGAGCCAGTTGCCAAGCATCTGAATTTTCATCAGATGACCATGAGGATGCTGCAACGGTTGTAAGAGTGAAAAATGTCATAACTCACTTTTTCGGTGCCGTTGTAACTTTGAACTGTCATTAAATGAACTGTTGTAAGTTTGAGGACTACCTGTACATTGAATTTAAATAGCGTACACTGAAAAATAAATTAAATTTAGTGTAATTCTTAGCTAACCTTTTCTTATTCCTCTAGAGTAGTGTTTCTTAAAATGTAGTTTCAGGATTCCTAAGGGGTCTTCCAAGACATGGAGTCCTCAAAATCAAAATTATTTGCCAAAATTATTGAAAAGTAATATATTAAAGTCTCCTCATTGATAGTGTTGTAAATCAATTTGGTGTAGCTTGTTTGGCAAACTTAAATGTTGTAGGTTTAATTGTTTCCTTCTTTGTACTGCTGCTCTGAATAAAGTATGTTTACATGTAAATAATGTCAATATATAAATATGATTTTATTTTTAAAAAGAAAAGAATAGAACAATTGTATTTATCAAATCTGTATGCAGTCTAGTTCCCAATTATTTTAAATTATGCCATTAGAATCTATGTGTTATGTTTATCAAGACTTTCTTGTTTGAACAAGAATAGCCTCATTAAAACTGATCTGGGACTAAAGATTATTTGAAGGATTATCAAATGTTTTTGTACTGTAACTTCTTGATGTTGGAAATCAAGAACTTTTACTGTAATATTGGAAACATTTTTGTTCTGGATGCTTAGAGATTCTTGTTCTTCAATTTTGTTGCTGACTAATTTCAATTTGAATGCTGTCTAGCAAACTTTGGCTAGCCCAGTCTCAGAAGAGGTAACCAAGATGAAATCCATTTAGTACTTAAATGGGAGACAAGTAGGACATATAGGTTAGAATAAGAAATCAAATTTAAAAAAAAGAATGGCAGTACACAACGGCAATGTCTTCCATACTGGTTTTTTTGCCAAGAAAATAAACAAACTATGTTGACATCATCACCAGAAGCTGATTGTCAGTTGATAGAATCATTGCTTTCTTTGAAAGTTGCCTTTGATGCTCATAACAAGCAGAAAATCATCTACCGTACAAACAATAAAATATTGTTGATGGACTCTTTGTTCTACACCTATATTTTTCAGACCCTTGACTTTTTAATTTTTGTATGTTCACCATTTCTACCTGTACACTTTGTCCCTGAAGTGAATAAAATTTGAACAATATAGTGTGGTCACTCACATATGAACTGAAGTCTTGATGTTGAAAGCATATATTCTTTTTCATGTGCCAGATTTTAGTATGAAAATGTAATGCTCTGTGATACAACATTGTGTGATAGAAATTTCTTTAAATTTGTAATCCATAAGTGTTAGCATTTTATGGTGACTTTACCTGGAAAAAAGCAAAAATGTCTTACATATTTAACTTTGCTGTTAGTGGTATGATTAATATTAAAAATTAACTCACTTTCTTTTACTAATATGCTTGAAGAAGTTTCTAGACCAATAAATGATGTAGTTTTATTTTTTTTAAGTCTTACTATTACAAAATCTATGACTATATCATTAATTTGAAGACTGTAATTATAAACTTTTTAATGATATATTTTCCAAGTCTACTATTATGCAGTCAATATTTTTGAAATTATTTCTAGTGAAGTTATTAATGAATTGTTATCAGTGTGAATCTCAGACTGAGGTATAACATCCTCTACTATTGAATTAAATCAATCTCATTCATTATGTCATAGTTATAATTTCTTATTTAATGAAATTTAGGAATGCATCAAATGACCTGCTTGAATTAATTTGTTGTTATTGTTTCTCTTTGTTATAGGAGAAGACTGACATAGAAGGTACCTTATTTGTGTATAAAAGGTAATGAAATAACTTTCAGGAATAATTGGATTAACAGTATAGTAGAACAGTCTGTGACATTTGTCTTTTGCTGATATAATATTGTATTTACTAGGGCAATTAAACAATATTGCATTATTCTTAATCAGTGCTATGGTTTGCATAATGTGTTGAAATGAATCCAGAGATGCTGTGTCTCTGAATGGTGATTCTGTTTGGCAATAGGCACTTTTAAAATTTGGTATAGAATCTTTGAAACTGTGCTCCTGTTTGCACAAAGCACTCCATAGTCTCTTGCAGAAAGTCTCAAGGATTGTGCTAATGCAGAGTATTGCTAATTATCTTGCTCTCTGTCTTTTCTTCATTTTTCAACTTACTCTTCAGTGGCACTTTGAGAACGCTGCTGCTGTCAAGCTTTCTTTTGCTTTTGCAGATCAGTTTATCCATAGTTTGTTTCCCTTGAAATAATAGGTCTGCTTCACCTTACCATGGTTTTACGATTGTAAATCGATTGAACATGCACAACTTGGTTGAGCCCGTAAACAAAGACTTGGAGTTTCAACTTCATGAACCTTTTCTTCTTTATAGAAATGCCAACTGTAAGTATGCCCTTGAATATATTATTTAGGAAATACCACTTGTAGAAGTTTAGAAAATTTCTCCTATTTTAAGTGCAGTAAAATCTCAGTTTAACACCCTTTATTTAAAGGATTTTGGATTTAGTTGCACAAAGTTCGACTTCACAAATGCCACCAAGTATGAAATCTGCCCAAACAATTGATGTAATCTATGTAATTACAGTTATTGTGGTATTGCAAATTTATGCAATGACATTAATGTTTAACAAACATTTATATTTATGAAACGCCTTTCTTCCAAAAGGTATATTGAATCAGGATTTTAATGTTTATGTGTGACATGATCTTGGAGAGTGACTGTCCCAGTTGGGAGGAGGACTGAAGCGGGAATTAGTCTGAACTCATCACTAGTCTAACACAAGAGGACAAGGTCTAATTCCCCCCACCCCCGTTCCCCTAATATTTTTGAGCCTTATTTAGTCTTTCCCAAGCAAAAACTGCCAGTCTGGGGAGATTCCTGTGCAATAGGCTTAGAACAATAAAGTAGCTAATTTGAACTTACATGCGCATGTCTGGTTTTTCATGCCTAAGATTATTATTTTATTATTATTATTTATTAAATTTTTATACCGCCCTTCTCCCGAAGGACTCAGGGCGGTGTACAGCCAAGATAAAAACCAACAATATAAAAGTTAAAAACAATTTTAAAATATTAAATAGTTTGGCCAACAATCTAAAATAAAATAACCCATTAAAATAATATTTTAGGCCAGCCCTGCTTGATTGAATAATAGTGTTTTAAGGGCGCGGCGAAAGGTACGAAGGTTGGGAATCCGACGAATCTCCGGGGGCAGCTCGTTCCAGAGGGCAGGTGCCCACACAGAGAAGGCTCTCCCCCTGGGGGTTGCCAGTCGACACTGTCTAACCGACGGCACCCTGAGGAGACCCTGTCTGTGGAAGCGTACTGGTCGATGGGAGGCTATCGGAAGCAGAAGGCGGTCTCATAAGTACCCAGGTCCTATGCCATGGAGCGCTTTAAAGGTGGCAACCAACATACAATGAGAACAAGTTAACATTCAATTTGGGTTGAGTGGATGCAATTAGCTGAGGAAAATACAAAGAAAATTTAAAGAGCTTTGAAAGTGTTATAATGGGAAAGCCTTTACTCTGGCTCAATGTAATTTCCTTCCCTCAGCTGTCCTTGAAGGCCAACAGGAAAATTCCCTACCCAGAGAGAGAATGCCCCTATGACTTTGGATATATAGGAACAACAGAGTATGTACTCCTCCAGTGCCTGTATTACAGAGACAACTACGGTAGTTGTATGCAGTTTTATTACTGCACAAAAACCCAGGGTGCACAAGACAATTCTACACCTCCCTGCTGCTTGCAGATACTAATCCTGCTACAACATATAATATTGCCAAGTTCTGCACAGCAGTGTTTAAAATCTGTCAGAAGATGACCTGTGCCATAAACTAATCTTATTGAGCAGTTAGTTCATTATTCAAGTGTGTTTTTGTGTGACAGATTTAATTTGCCATATGCTAACTTTTATGTTCCCTTTCCTACATCTGCTCAATATTTCTATCCTTCCTTTTAGATTTTTTTACTCTTGATTTTTACAGTTTTTAAATATTTTAACTTTTTAAAAATTAGACTTGGATGTATCTTATACTTTTATATCTTTTAGTGTTTTTTAAATTACCAATTGTTTGTACCCCTTTATCCTTATGCTAGTCTATGACTGTAATAAGGATTTGATTTGAAAGTATTGTTATGCAGCAGGTAAATAGCACATACCTCATATATGGTAGTACCTCTTTTAGTAACACACTGAGGGAGTACTTCAACCTCGTGAACTCTGAATTTTCTTCTTTCCACTACATATTCAAACTTGCCACTACTGTGATTAATGAGTGTGTGTGTGTGTGTTTGGGTAGATACATACTTTCTCTTGAGAGCAGGCAACAGAATTTCATTTTTAATGTGGGCCAGTGTGCTCACAGTAAAAAAAAATGACAATAAAGTTATCAGGAGATTGGCAATGTTGGTAGGACATCATGTGTTTCATTGCAGAAGACGAATGAATTGGTAGCTATCTTAAGCATTTTCAGCCAAGATAAGAAGTGGGACTGTTTTGCTATTTCTGTGGACAGAAACAATGGAATTGCATTAGGATTTTTATAATGGAGTTTAAATTGAGAGCAGTCAAATATGTACAGTCGTGTGATGCACTGAGCTAATGTGTCAGCAGCCGTCACTGCAATCTATTGCAAAGTATTTATCTCTCTTCTTTCTTTGATAGCTTTGTTTAGGACAAACCCATTAGCTCTTGGCTTTGATATCCACTTTAGACACACTGTGTTTTTTTTTTTTTCATCATGCTTATACCTCTAGATTAATTATTCTTCATACTGAAATGCTTGAAATGGCATCTAGAGAATTTAGGGTTCCATATTTTGATATGTTTGCCTTCCCGTATAGTACATTTATTTCTGCTTCATAAAAAAAATATTAGTAAGGGAGCAAAAATATTACGGTTCTGGTGGCCAAAAATCAGACCAAAGGGTTTTTCTTTATTGTCCGCTCATGCCATTGGTTAGCAAAATCCTACTAAAACTCACAGGGATTCTAAAAGCTCCAGATTAGCCTTTGTTCAGCTTCTGATTGAAGTTGGATAGTTCTAGTCTTCTTAGAGCTGAGCCAAATGAGCTCTTCTATTAGGTGTTCTTGAATAGGTGGCTTCACATATTAAAGTTGCATCTCTTCCAGGTGGTGGATTTACCAACACATTTTCATCTTTGTAGACCAGCAGTTACCAACCGGTGGTCCATGGACCACTGGTGGTCCATGAGAAAATTTTGGTGGTCCACAGAAAAATTATTTGCATTTTTTATATTGCACTAAATCAGGGGTCCTCAAACTACGGCCCCTGGGCCGGATACATGCAATGAATGGTTGTGTTGCTGCAGAGAGTCATCGTGAGTGACATCGAGTTGGCCACACCCACCCAGCCAGTCATCAGGCAGATCATATTAGTGGTATGCAGGATTTAAAATTATGAATTTAGTGGTCCCTGAGGTCCGAAATGTTGGTGACTCCTGTTGTAGACCATTATTTCTACAGTCCTAGAAAGAGATAGAGTAAGGCCTTGATGGCGAACCTATGGCACGTGTGCCACAGGTGGCACGCAGAGCCATATCGGTGGGCTCGCGAGCTCAGCTCCAGCGCACATGTGCGCGTTGGCCAGCTGATTTTTGGGTCTTCTGGGCCCACTGGAAGTTGGGAAATGGGCCATTTCCGGCCTCCGGAGGGCCTCTGGGGGAGGTAGGGAAGGTTGTTTTCGCCCTCCCCAGACTCCTAGAAAGGCTATGGAGCCTGGGGAGAGTGAAAAACGGGCCTACTGGGCCCACCGTGCCATCGCGTGCCAAAAGCAGGGAGAGCACGGGGGCACACACGCATGTATGTGGGGTGGTGGAGCACATAGAATTATGGGTGTGGGCACTCACGCGTGTGACCCCCCTGTGCTCCCCCCACTTTTGGCAGGCGATGGCAAAAAGGTTAGCCATTACTCGTCTAAGGTGTTAGTTGTTGCACTTGGATATGTATTGCTTTTTCCACATCACAGGAATTACAAGACATCAGATTAAGCATTTCCCCCAAATGATCTGAATTAGCTCCAAACTGGCAAGAAGGAAAAGATAGCCATGGATAAATTAAAAGTAATCCCTAGCATATTATCATGAAGAAACATTGTCTCAAGAATCTCACAGAATGAGATCCAAAAATCCCAATTTAGCTAATATGTCCAAATGCATAAGAAAGACAACTTTCTGCACCCTAATGGGTTACAGGATTTTCAACGAACTCTCAGGATCTTAAGCAGATCTTACACTGACTTCATATATTGCATGGCAATCCCCACTTCTGAACCATTGCACTATGGAAGGCTTTCTGGGATGCAGGGGGAAACTAGCTGTAGGAACCCTGATCAATACCATAATATTGCTGTCCCAAAGCCCAGACAACCAGACTACTAAATAATATATAGTTTATAGAACTTGTCTCCTCTAAAAAAAATGATTGAAACTAGGGTTATGACCCAGAAATTGCAGTGTGATAATTATATATATTTGGTGAGCTTTATTTTATTTATTGGGTATACTTCAGGTTTTTTAAAAATATATTTGGCTTGGCCACCATATTTTTATGCCTCTCTGGTTTGCATCTGAGTCACCTGTCCTTCCCAAGTGATGTTTTTTTTCTTCCTGCCCTTTCATTCATCCTTTTTCTTCAGTCCCTACATTTTTTTTTAGCCATCTTCATTTACCACTTATGCTTCATATTTTTCCTCTTTTTATTTTTTGACAATAGGTAGGATGAATGACGGTTTTTAAATTTTAGGAAAACTGAGTTCATGATATTAATCATGTTTGAGAGTTCATTTTTGTAATACTATGTATGTTTACTTGGAAGTAAATCCAATTAAACTTCCTGAAAATTTCTCTCTGATAAGGGTGAGAAGAATTACAGAATTTAAGGCTGAGAAGAATTACAGAAGAACTACAGAATTTCATTTAAATTGTTAATTGACTTCTAAACAGCAATGTATGGTTACATACATAGGTTTATTTTCAGCCCTATATTTTGGATTCTTTACCAGTTCAAGTGTTTATTTCCTCTGATATATCACTAACTTCTCACATTTTGGAGATAACAGTCTTTAGCCTTTTTTGTAATTCAAGAATAGGGATTTTTCTTGGTTGTAATAATTGTTAAAAGTGGTGTGTAAGCATTTTGATTGTGAACCATTTGGCATTTGAAATACTCCATTCTGAGTTTAGAAACAGCTGTTCCAGCTTTACCAAAAGTATTGCAACACTGTTCTGGCTTTCCCATAAGCATTTTTTTGCTCAAAATGATCTGCCTTGAACTTAAAATACTTCAGGAATTATCAAAATAGTGTTAGAAGTTAAACATCTTCATAATGGGATAGAACCGATTGAGGAGTTGCCTGGGCGGTTTGGAGATTTTGAACTAGATTGCATACTGGTTTGGCTAGAACTAAAGGCCACATGGAATAGTAAGGATTTCTCCCAGAGGACAAGAATATTTACTGCAAATGTGGCACTATTCAAACAACTATCCCATCTTTTGCAATGCCCCCTGGGACTGACATGCACAAAGAACTCTGGTCAGAAATATATGTGCCATCAGCATGGCCCTTATTGGGCTAGAATGATATAAATTTGTTTTTATTAAAAGTTTTTAATCTTTTTACATTTAAATTAATAATTTCCCTTTTCTAATTCTGCATTTCTAACACGAAACAAGCATCAGAACTCTTCTGGGAAAGTTTGAATAACTTGTGTCAAAACAACAAAAGTGGAATTGAATAATTTTAGCTTGTAATGTTTTATACAACTCTATCTTGTAATGAATGTCATATAAATATTAATCCTGTATTATGGTACAGATAGTCCTTGCTTACCAACTGTTCATTTAGCAATGTTCAAAATTACAGTGATGTAAAAAAACAAAACAAAAAAAAACTATGTGACCAGACCTCACATTTACAACTAATTGCAGCATCCTGCAGTCATATTATTGCCATTTGGGTGCTTTGCAACTGGCCTGCAACAAGCAGAATTAATGGAGAACACGGAAGTAAAATTGTAAACTGCGATCATTTGATGTTTTGCTTAACAATCATGGTGGTTCCTTTAAGGACCAAATAGAAAGTGATGTCATAAGTTTGTCATAGTCATAGTGAATGCAGCACATGGTGATGGAATTGCCAGTCCCAATTTGGGTTGTTAAGCAAGCACTACCTGTATTATGTATTAATTCTTAACATTGAAAACTACATAGTAGCAGTACTTAGTTTTGCATAATGATTTTAAGTAAATTGCAATCTATTCATTCTGCTGCTGCTTTACATTTTTATTCACAAATCCTCTGTAATAGTTTATTTCTTAAAAAAAAATAACCACTTCTTTAAAATATCTTCCAGTGTTAATTTACAGTATCTGGTTTTATGATAAGAATGACTGTCATCGAATAGCAAAACTCATGTCTAAGTAAGTACCTAATTTTTTAATATTTAAATTGAAAGAATGACTAAGCATGCTTAGGTTATTTTTAGTTTTATAGCATCTCACTGCAAAATTGATTTTTGCGTGATTTTTTTTTTCTTCTCACCTACCTTCTAAAGGGGCATTATGACTTAATATAATACATTATGACAAAAATACATTGTGACTTAGTGTTTGGAACAAATATTCAAATTGTAATTCTGTATCTCACATTTGGAATTAAGATATGGTTTTAATTAAGGTATGCAATTAAGGTATGGGATAATTTAAAATCACAATGACTGGTAGCACTGATTGTTTATAATTATATTGATGTTTTTAATCTTAATATAATTGTATTGTAACACTCTCATAGTCTCTGGAAATGGAGTGGTATATAAATTATAATTTCAAACATCTTGATCTTAAAAATGCCAGATACAAAGATGCACTTTCCTGCATTGTCACGAGGCTTTGAATTCTGAGGAAACATTCAGACATTCAGCATATAAAATTCATGTGATTTTTAAAAAATATGTAACCTAAGTATTTCTTAAGGAATAAATATTTCTTTTCAATCAAAAAGCATTTAAACAACTGTCCATGGAGGTTCTCACTCACCCAGGTCATGACTGCTCTAAAGGTGTTTTTATTTTAAAGGCAACTGGATTTTCTGATATTTTTTAAAGACATTTCACTTCTCATTCAAAAAGCTTCTTCCGTTCCAACTAACTGGTGGGGAAAAGAAGGGATTTATACTCTCTACAGTTGTTAACATTCTGAGGGTTGTTGGAACAACCTAGAAGCTAATCTGTGTCCTCAGGGTCACCTGAATCAGAATGCAAACAAGGGCAGAACCCTGTTGGGACTGGGCTGCATTGTAAATGATGATACTGTAGCGTGGTGCCAAGATGAGATGAATGGTGTGGTGCCATATCCCTCCCTCTCTGTTGAGAAAACTGTTCAGTTTTAACATAAATAAATTTAAACAAGTGTCTCTTCCATTTTTTGTCCTTTTAACAACTTTTACAATAAGTGTATAGTAAAATAGTGATATGATCTGTGTACATAATCAAGCATTGCTAAGTTGTTATTGTTATTAGATTTAATACAGAAACTCATTCCAGTTAACATTTTCCTTGCTTGTAATGATTGTAATCTATCACAATCTATTTTTATAAAGACACTATGAACTGAGATTCTTACCCAGCATATTTCATTTATGTCCCAATGCAATCCAAAATGATTCTCAGTGGGTTATAAGGCCATTTTGTATTTATTACATTAAACAGTTCATCATTTTAATGTCTGCTCAGTTCAATAAGATCATTTAAAAGGTTTTGCTACCTTTTGTATTTTTATCATTCTAAATAGCTTGGTGTTATGTTCCTCACCAAATCCAGGTATCTATAAAAAACCTAAAACCCAGTATAAATCCGTATGTGCTTTCTTCCATTTTGAGAACTGTCAATTTATTCCTACACTGTTCTTTAACTAGAAAAGAACATGCCTGTAAGTTTTTGGTGAAGGAATTTGCCAAAGCCTTTTGAAAACAAGTCACCTGATTGGAGTCATTACTATGTTTGTTGAGATTTTCAGAGATGTCTAAAAGGTTAGTGAGGTTGGACTTATTACAGAAGCCATATTGATTTTTCTTCAGAAAGGTTTGTCTTTCACTATGTCAATTTAACTCCTTTATACCAAGGATCCTGAACTGCCCTGCAGTTGATTATGTCCCATCAAGTAAATATCAATTCTTAGGGTCCACAGAAAGCAGCACATTAAGGATCTTTGTGTGATTTTTATCTGTAATTTAAGAAATGTTTCTTTCTGAATGTAACTTTAACTTTTTCTTAATAACTTCATTTATTCTTGTTAGCAATGCTGGTGACATTTTGGGTAGCATGTTACCTTTGCACTGTATATTGTACCTGAGTTTTTATTTTAGCTTTGCAATGGAGAAAGTTAATCCATTTGGTTTTCTCTTTTGGATTGTTTTCCACAAGCCCTTTCTTGGAAGTTTTTCCTTTTGAAATTGAATATGACAGTATAAAAGTTTCATAACAACCCTACTAGTAATTGGTAGATTTGGTGTGAGGAATTGGTGAAAAATACACACATGATTCCCTTGACCGTAATTCAAACCCTTAATCATACTTTTAGTGTGGGGGATACTATACTAATCTGATAATATATAATACCTGCACTGTTGTAGTGGCATACGAATCTAATTTTAAAGTGTATTTATGTAATGACCTAATCCAAGTTAAATGTATTTAAAATTGGTATAAATTAGAAGCTTTATGCAGCTTAAGGTCAATTTGCATTTCCTGATGTGGTTTAGCAGCTATATTGTAAAATATGTTAAATAATCCACATTTTAGCTAATGTAGGTTTATGTTTCAGAAGATGGATGTATTCAGATTTTGTTTTAGACTAGAGATAGCCAATGTAGGTTTTACAAACATAGTATTCCTACATTTAGTGTTATTTTTATTTAAATAATTTCTCTTAAGTACACAGAAGCTCACATACATCCTTAGAAAATGCAGCCTTGTACTTTATTTGCTTTGCCCGCTCTCCAAAAAAGGCAAAGATATATTGATATACTGTAAAAGAGTTAACCATTGAGATTATAGAAAATATTCTCATCATAACAGTATTAAGCTAGTTCTATGCCATGGCAGTCATTTTGTGAGAATGCAAAATATTATTAAATTTTTTGTTGTTCAATATTATTTTAATATTATTACATATTCTTATCATTCCAAATGCACCCAAAATGATTCATAGCATCCTTACCTGGCTTAATTTTTAAGACTATAATCTGTACCATTTTTTCTTTGAAAAATAGATACCTGCTCCATTACTGTTAGTATGTCATACTAGTTTGATCTATATCCTGTCTTTCCCCCATTTCAGTTTACCTGGGAATCTCACTTCATTTTATCCTCATAGCAACATCTTTATGAAATGGGTTGAATTGAGAGAGACTATTTAGTCCAAATTATCAGCCATCATTGAGGGTAGCTTTAAATCTGGGTCTCCTCAATCCTAGTTGAATATCCTAACACCTGTTTTTTCTTAATTTCAAGTTGTTTGAGCCAATTTATTTTAAATTAGTAGAAATGTTCTGAATCAATGAAAAAACTGAAGATTAAACATTGTATTTTGTTTTATTTTATTCTAAAACATTGTTTATATTTCTGGGCAAATGTATTGTCACAGTGGTTTATAGATATTTAAAATAGTTAATAATATATTCAGCTAAGTTGTAATGGAGGTAGTAAACACAAATTATTTGAAAGTGCTCAATAAAGAAATTGTGAAGAAAACATTCATGAGGTTTTTAGTGCAATGTATGAAACAAGCAGTTACCTGTTGTTCACTGGTTTATGGCCCAGTATTATGAATTAAAGCACTATTAGCTTATTCAGCAAACCATAGTCAGAGCAAATGGTTGCTTATTTCAATTTGTAAATCATTTTATTAAAATAAAATGGGCATATTAAAGTTCAATGTAAAAAGGAATAAATACTGTACACTTTATACTGATTAATCTATGTTGCCTATTACATTTTAATCTTGTTGGTTGTTATTTGCATGTTATGTGTGCTCTGCCATTCATTAAGATCATGCTTTTCCAAGAGGGGTATATGTTATTAAAATATATTCTAAATATAAGTAGTCTTTTCTTCTCTTTTGTGATAGGGTGGTACAGGAAGAAACTCAGAGATCGCAGCAACAATTTCAGGATAGAAAACATGTCAGTCGAGTTAATGGTTGCACAGATATTCTAGAGTTGCTTAGTAAAGCAAAGGTTGAATATGAACGGGTAAGAAAATTGTGCATGTTATAATTTTAAGACCAGATTCTGATTTTAGGATTTTATGTATTTAAAAGCAAAATAACTACCCACAAATATGCTTGAAAGGGTCCTCAAATTATGACCATTCATTCAGTAACTTTGAAGTTGCAATGCTACTGAACTACTTACAATCAGTATTCAAAGTTTCAGCGCTATCCTCGCAGTCATGTGAGCAAAATTTGGTTGCATGGCATCCAGCTTGCACTTACGACCAATTGCAGTGACTTGAAACAACGTGGACACCAATTTGTGACCTTCCGTGCTAGCTTCTTCTAAGTAACATCAATGAAAAGTTGGCAAAGAAGGTTGCGCACATCTACAATTTCCCTCTAATCCCCCCCTCACACCAATGCCTTCTTTCATTCTCCCTGTGCACACACAGGCACACACTCCATGCCTTCTTCCCAAAGCCCCCCTGTAATTGCACACATGCCACGCACAACCCCATGCCCTCTTTCAACAGTCTCCCTGCATTTGCACACATGTACCCCAGGCATCATACCCCGGCCTTTCTGAGTTCACACCGCACTGGGCATCTCTTCCCCTGACTTGGGTGGGGCCTGCGCCAGTCCTCCCAGGGCTTTACCTATTCACCTGTAGAATCCCTGCACTCCTTATCTTGAATATCCTCAGCTTCCCACTTAATGAGCCAATGCATCTTGGGTTATGATGACAAGTAGAACTGCCTGGGTTATCCCCTGTGTGTCCTGTCCTGTGATGTCATGCTTTCTGACTACATCCCTAGCAAGTGGCAGTCCTGGTCTCAATTGCAAGTTCCTGGTCCCTACTAATTGCTATTAGTATTTCATGCTCTGAAAGTTTTGTTTTATTTACAGATCTCTATATTATGTTGTTTATGGTGAAATGCATATTCAGTAACGGATTTAAATCCTTTTGTAATCATCACAATAATAAAAAGCTTTCTACTTTTACATTTCCCTAAGCCTTTTCACTGTACACTGTCCTGTGGTTGGAATTATTTTTTTATTTAGTTTTATTTTTTGAATATTCGCATAAAAGCTTTCATTAAACACTTAGGAAACACAGTGATTTGACACATCATCATAATATAACAACATAATTCATATTTTGTATGAGCATGTTATGTGAAGCCAGATAGCAGATTTATTCATCATAGCATGATTAAACAAACCATGTGATGTGTGAATTCTGTCAGAGTGATGGGCCTCTAACAACAGTTAACAATTGGCTAAATAACATCCAGAATCCACAATGGCAGGACCGTTAGTCATCAGACAAGATTGTTATTAAAAAAGAGGTAAGAAGGGAAAAATGGATGAGTCTTGAAATTGTGTCTGTATACAGATAGTCCTCAACTTACGACTATTTGTTCAGCAATCATTTGAAATTACAACAGTGCTAAAAAAAAGTGAGTTACAAATGGTTCTCACACTTAATGACCATTGCAGTGTCCCCACGGTCACATGATCACAATCCAAGGGAGAAAGCTTGCTGAGATCTCCTAAAGGTATTACTTAAATTGTAATTATTTCATTTAGTCCAAACTGCAATTTAAAAATAATATTTCTTCCTTTTTTATTCTTTTAGAATCAGAAAAGTGACTTAATTTCAGGGACACAAGAAAGAGGAAATCTTACAAAGACTGAAAATACAGAGGCATCTGAATACGAAACACCAGTGTTACAAGTCCAAGATCATGTATGAGAAAATCAGAACCTGCCTTTTTATCCTTATAAAGTGCTATTTTAAATGGAAGTACGGTAGTCCTCGAATTACAACAGTTCATTTAGTGACTGTACAAAGCTACAACGGCATTAAAAAAAGTGACATATGACTGTTTTTCACACTTGCAACCATTGCAGCATCCCCGTGGTCATGTGATCAAAATTTGGACACTTAGCCACTGACTCATATTTATGGCAGTTGCAGTTTCATAGGGTCATGTGATCCCCTTTTGCAACCTCCTTACAAGCAAAGTGAATGGCGAAGGCAGATTCATTTAACTGTAGTGCTAACTTTAACAACTGCAGAGATTCTCTTAATAACAACATAAAATGGGGCAAAATTCACTTAATAATTAGCAATAGAAATTTTGGGCTCAATACTGGTCATAAGGACTACCTTATTTCTTTGTCTTCATTCTAAATGTGTATATCATCTACCGTATATCAGGGGTCTGTTTGGAACCCAGCCTGCGCAAGCAGCGGGTCAGACTGAATATGCTTTGGCAGCAATAGGAGGAAAATGGAGAAGGTCAGCCATGCGTGGCAAAGCCTGTGGAGTGCGGGCATTGGGGGCAACTGGGGGTTTCTGCAGTGATGCTGGGGTAGCTGGTTGCAGTATAGGGCTTGATGCAGCATTTTTCAGTAGTGGCAGCGGTAGCACTGGGTCTGAAGTTGAGACCTGGGGTGATAGTAGCTGGCTGAGACTCCTTCCGCCCCAGCCCCAGTGCTGCTGCTATCAAGTGCTGAGCTACGTGGAGCAGTGGTTAGAATGCAGTACTGCAGGCTACTTCTGCTGATCACCGGCTGCCAGCAGTTTGGGAGATTGAATCTCACCAGGCTCATGGTTGATTCAGCCTTCCATCCTTCCGAGGTCGGTAAAATGAGGACCCAAATTGTTGGGGGCAATATGCTTACTCTGTAAACCGCTTAGAGAGGGCTATAAAGCACTATGAAGTGGTATATAAGTCTAAGTCTTAAGTGCTATTGCTATTGCTAAATGCTGCTGTGCAGGAAAGCCAAAAGGGCATAGATTGGAGGGGGTGGAGAGATAGGCAGGTAGGGGCGAGTTGAAGCATTTCTGTGTTTGTAAATAGCTTGAATTGTGTTCATGTGACTGGGCATGCTGCAGTGATTGTAACTTCAGTCATTGAACAAGTGGACATAAGTCGAGGATTGCCTTTATAAAGTATATTGCATTCTTTTTGTAGTGATGAGTTTTTGACAAATAGATTTCCTCGTTACTATACATTTTATGATTGTTTCCCTTAAATTTATATATTTGTGGTTATAGTATATGTGTATATATTTATGTGTGAGATAGATTGAACGAGAGACAAGACTAGGATACAAGAATTGTTGATTATTGTTGATATTGGGGAAATGTGCTTCATTTGAATACAGCAAAATTTTTGTTGCGCTAGATGGCTTTGTAGCAATCTTTTTTTTTTAAAGTAGCACTTTGGCATTCATTTGTATGCAAGGAAACAAGTGTGTTCATTCTATATTAAGCTAAACTTTTACACTTTTTTTCCTAGTCATGTCAGTCCATCCCTAAACATCTAACAGTGGAAGAATTATTTGGAACTTCATTACCAAAGGAAAACTCCACAGCTCCCATGTCCAATCCAGAGAGGATAGAGAAAACTGATACCTCATGCAGAGAACACAATTTGCTTTTACCCTTTTCATTTGAACAATCAACAGTGATCCATCAGCCTCTGGGGAAACTGGACGCTCCAAGCCTCAAAAATAACTCTTTGACTTTATTACCACAGGAATGTGTACCATCTGTACTAACTTCATCACCTTCAGTTTTGCAACCTGAAGTAAATAAAGTTTCAAACTATAATGTGCATTTAAGTCCTATCCTTAATTCGACTTTGGCAACAGAAGCACCTTGTGGTCCAGTGCTGCAGAATATCAATGCAAACAATAATGTAACGCAAGTCATGCAGCAGACTACCAAGCAAATACCTTCACTTGTGAATCAGACATTGTGCGATATGAACCACGGTACACAAAATGTAAGTTCTGGTCAAAACCAATTCCTAGGATCAATGACTTTGCCAAATACAGGAGATGCTTCAAACACATCACTTCCCAGTGTAGATCTTCTTCAAAAACTCAGGTTGACACCACAACATGACCAAATGCAGCAATCTCTTATTAAAACCCCAGTAGCACCAAATGCTGCTTCTGCTATTAGTCAACTGGCAACACCAGATTGTTTCAAGGAATCCCACATCAAGCAACAGGCTTTGACTTGTAAAGTCATTCATCCCTATCAGGTAGGTTATTTTTAGGTGAATAAACTTCTTGTGAAGTCATTTGTAAGTCATTATTGAAAATGGCTCCCGTGTCATTATGCCATGGTCTTTCTTGAGTCTGGAAATGCCATAATTTCTTCATTTTGAATGAGGGATGCCCTTCTCTTGATCTTCTGTATCAGCCATAAGTTCAATTAATTAATATGCTGTTTTGAGATACAGCGCTACATATCGTTAACATATGCATGTAGGTATAATGTTATTGGTAATACAACAAAATCAGGGTTGATGACTTTGCAAGAAAGAAATTGTACATAAAATATTTTATTTTCATTTTAAATTTGTAGGTTACACAGCAAAATAAGGAGCCTGAAACGTTTCCAAATCCTAAAGTGTTGTCAAAAGCAAACCAGGTACATATTAAAAACCAGGCATTGTAACATTGCCTTCATGGAAAAACTTCCCTCTTCAACCTCTCTTAATTAACTAATCAGTTGAAGCTGAATATACAAAACAAACTTATTTGTCAGCTTGTGTTTTGCTGTTCTAAAGAATATCTTATTCCATCAGATGTATAACAAATATTGTTACAACTTTAATATATTCTGTTGTAATATTAATATACTTTTCCTTGAGAGTTTCATATCTTGCTAGAATCAAAAAATGCTCTTTGTGTGCATCTCATAAAATTATTGCAGCTAGCTATATTCATATATTTTTCTTCCTTAATGCTTTCTATTGTTGTCTGAGCATATACTAGTTAGTATCTTTTATTTGTAAGATTGAATCTATTTTTTAATAAATGCAAGAAAATATAATACATCCATATTATAAACGGCAACATAATAGTCTTTCAACTAAAGCATCAATATCTAAGAATAAACTTTGCATAATTTCAAGTCATTTAATTATGTCCTCAAAGAGGTTCTTTTAACCTTGATATATTTAATTTTTGTTATGTACTTTCACTTGATACCTTTCATTTTAATTGGGAATCTCTGCAACCTCTTTCTGTTCTGATAATAAAGGAAGTAATGGACTTAACATTATGGGAACTGGATTTATACAATGTTCTTTGAAACAATAAATAAGGATTCTCAAAATCGCTTTTTTTAGGTTGCTTCTACACAGTTTGCTACCACTGCAACCACAATTGCACCTTCTGTCCTCCTTTCACCTAGTGTGTTTCAACAGTCCACTATGAAATCCTCTGAAATGGAAAATAAAGTTGGCTCACCTTCTCCTGTTACACTTGGTACAGATGTTCAGACATTACCTCCAGCGGTACTCAGTAGATCTCAACTTCAGCAAACTTTGATACATCTAATAAAGGTACAATTACTATCTTAAGATAACAAGCATTACGTAGAACCCATTGTTGATGGAGCTGCTCCCATAAATAGAAGTAGAAGGAGCTGGTTCCCCTTGACTCCCAGAGATGTTGATTATTGGAAGTCCATAGAGCAGGGAAAATCACTTGCTTTTGGAAGCAGCCATATTTTTTATTATTAAATTTATTTTCAGAGTGACTCTGGGTGGCTTAAGCATAATGCTAATGGTTTCTTAATATTAATATTGCAGCAATATTGCAATATTAATGCACCATGTGCAAATTATTTTAAAATATAAACTTCAACTGAAAAATGAATAAGATTATTTTCAGTACAGGTAATCCTTGACCTACATCCCAATACTTAGCAACCATTTCAAGTTCCAACAGACCTACCTGGAAGGTACTTATGACCCAGATTCAAAGTAACCCATATTTTGACAGTAACACCCTCCCCATGGTCACACGACCACACTTCAGACACTCGGCAACTGGGCCACATTTATCAAAATAATAGAGTTGGAAGGGACCTTGGAGATCTTCTAATCCAACTCCCTTCTCAAGCAGGAGACCCTATGTCATTCTGGACAAATGGCTGTCCGTTCTCTTTTTAAAAGCCTCCATTGATGGAATACCCACAACTTCTGGAGGCAAGCCTTTCCACTAATTAATTGTTCTCACCAACAGGAAGTTTCTCCTTAATTCCAGGTTGTATCACTTTTTGATAAGCTTCCATCTGTTACTTCTTGTCCTTCAGGTGCTTTGGAGAATAGGTTGATCTCTGTGACTGCCCCTCATATATTGGAAGATTGCTATTATGGCCATTTTCATAATCGTACAGTTCATGTGACCACATTTTAAAATGGTTTTGCCAAAAGCTATCATTTACTATCAATTTTCAGCAAAACCAGCTTAATAACCATGGATTTGCTTAATGACCACTGCATAATGGATCACAAGATCAGGTCAATAACATGACCAGCCTGCTTTACATGAATTGTGACCATGATGGGCAGATTCCATTATGGTGATAACTTGAGAACTGCTTTTACTAAAACTGCTGGTACAACTATATATGATTCTTGCTAGATCAGACCTAGGCAGCATTTTTGCCCATAATAGTTAACCACTCTAGTTTCTGTTCTCTAGTAAATAATAAAATGCACAGTGCCTACAATTATAGAAATAATATGTTCTTTTCATGCCTGGTAGCTAGTTCTGATAAATATATCTTATTCTACTATAGCGAGGGTCCAGCAGTCATGACAGGATTAACACAGCATTCTGGTACTGACTGAGTCTGCAATTTGAGAAGCTCCTCCCACTTCCTCTGGCTTCCCAGATTTCAGGCTCAGTCATTCTGAATAGGACTGTTTTGGCTGACCTGCCCAAATTTGACTGTTTTACAGTGAATTTGATTATTTTTCCTTTCTTTGGGTTTCTAATCCTCCTTGAAGGGATTGCAAGGCTCCCAGGGATCTGGTTGAGCCCTGCTTATTCCAGCATGAAGGGCTCACACCTGAGACCGCTGAGGACTGCTTTCAGCAGTTTGGGGTGGATCTCCCGGCTGGTAGAGATCCTCCTATCCCAGCGAGAAAGGCTTTGGTCAGAGCCCGCTGAAGACCGCTATTGCAGTGGTGGGTCTGCTGGCTGGCAGACCTTGGATTGACATCACTGGGGGTCTTCCCCACACGTCCAGAAGCGGTAGCTGTGTTTTTTCTATTTCCTCACCACCGTGGAGCCGCTAGAGCGCCCCAGCAGTACGGACCACAGCTCCAGGTCTGGGTCCGATCGTTGTGCCCCTGTTTATTTGGGATCGTGCTGGGGCGGAGCTCGTTGGCCCTTTTTGGAGTTGGGGAGGCTTTCTAAAGGCAGCACCCTCGATCCTTTTATTGTGGCCAGCATTTTGTTTGCTCCCTCGTGCCGGCCGCCATTTTGTTTTTTAACTCCTTTGTGCCGGCGGCCATTTTGAGCTTTTCTAAAGTGTTTTTTGGCCTCAGCAGCCTTATCAGATGTCTTCCAGACCTTCTACTCGCCCTTCCAAAAGGGCAGCTGCTAACCAGGCACCATCTGAGCCTTCTGGTCCTTCTGAACCAGGACCTTCAAAGAGGGGAAAGGCTTCTTCCTCCAAGCCCTCTGCTACCCAGAAGGCTTCCAAAGCCAGCGAAAAGGCTGAGGCTCAGAGGCATAAGTCCCTTGAAAGGGCAATTGAGAAAGCAGTAAGGGTGGCCACGAGAATGGAATTTCCCCAGTCCTCACACATTACTACTCCCACTGCTGGTCCTGCTACAGCACCAAGCCAATCAGTGCCTGCAGCCTGATCTCCGGATGGGGAGCCAACTCTACCTTCCCAGGCTGAAGCCAATGCTCATTTATTTGGGGCCCTTCAGACTTCTCTTCCACCTCCCCATATATTTCCTGTAGTCCAGGTGTTGCCTTCTCCTCAGATGTCTTCCCAAGCACCAGTTCCTCCACTGGCACAGAAGGATCCTCAATCTCCTCAGGAGGATCAGGTCAGCCAGGAGAAGGCTCATTTGTCTGCAGGGGAGCATCTTCCAAGCTGTCCCGCTGATTTAGCATCTCTTATCCAAGCAGCAGTTCAGCGAGGCATTGCTGAGAAATGCAGCATAGAACTGGTTCATGAGTTTCAGACCAGGCCAGGTCACAAGGGACCCTTCAATCTCAGGGGTCTGCTGAACTAGTTCAGGCGCAAGACCAGATTTATACTAGACCCTCTGCCAGTCAGGGGTCTGAAGCAGGAGAGGATCTGGGTGAACCTGGTTTATCTGATGATGAAGACCTTACCCCTGACCAGCCTTCTTTCATTGTCTTGTTTAAAGCTCAGGTGTTCAGATCACTCCTTCATAAGGCCAAACTCACCACAGACCTAGGTCTCCCTCAGCAAAAGTCTTGCTATTCAAAAACAGGGGAGGGTCCTTCTTCCTCTTTGTTTGAGGAACCTACCTTTGAGGCTGAGGAAATCCCAGGCCCCAAGATGTTCAGGGATGTTATTACCCGACAATGATCACTTCCTGTATCTGGTCCCAATCCGAACACAGTAGACAGACGTCTCTATAACCTTGATTCTAGCATTTCTTCCATTTTGCAGGTTCCTGCAGTGGATCCCCCTATTGTTGCTTTGTCGACTTCTTCAGTCCTCACGGGCCCCCCTGAAAAGGGTCTTCGCCCTGAGGACAAACGTCTGGAACACTCCCTAACAAAAGCTCACCAGGCAGCGGCTTGGGCCATTAAGGCTTCTTCAGCTGTTTCTTTCTTTAACAGGGCTACCCTTATGTGGGTTAGGCAGTTGCAGGATCGTTTACCAGTTACTGATACCAGGGCTCACCAGGATGTCAACAAAATTCTAGTGGCCCTGGAGTATTCAGCGGATGCTACCCTTAACGCCTCCAGGTTTGCCGCCAAATCCATCGGCTCTAATGTCACCTCGCGCCATCTGCTCTGGCTACGCCAGTGGCAAGCGGATGCCAAGAATAAGTGGCATTTGGCATCTTCTCCTTACTCAGGGGATTTACTATTTGGTCCTCCTCTTGAGCCTTGCTTATCGAGTCCAAAGATAAACGGAAGGTGCTTCCCAATTTGTCCCGGAGAGTGGAATCCCGTCCCTCTTCTTCCTCCTTTCGTTCCTTTCGAGGATCATCTTCTGGTTTCTCCTTGTCTAGATCTCAGAGATTTCCCTCCCCTAGACAGGATAGGTTCCAGGACAGGCAATCCGGCCCTGATTTTAGAGGCCAGGGCCGCAAGTCCTTTCGGGGAGTGCAAGGCTGCCCCTCCCGTAGATATCGCTGACGGCTCGTTCAACCCTCCCATAGGGGGCCGCCTGGCACTCTTTGCCAGCCAGTGGGAGGCGTCGACCTCGGATGCCTGGGTCAGGGAGACAGTCTCCCAAGGGCTCTCTCTGGAGTTTCTCTCCTCCCCCCCCCCCCGGTCAAAATTTCTCCAATGCCCTCTTTCCAGGGATCGGTCGCAGAGACTCCTTTTGGAATCTGCAATAGACCACCTCTTACAAATTCAGGCCATAGAACTGGTTCCTCAGAATCAAATCGGACACGGCTTCTACTCTCGCCTGTTCCTCGTACAGAAAGCTTGGGGGGCTGGAGAGCAATTCTAGACTTGAAGTCGTTGAACCATCGAGTCATTTATCGACGGTTCAAGATGCAGTCCTTCCAAACCATCCTGGAATCCGTCAGGGTGGTGGACGTTCTTACTTCAATCGACCTGACGGAGGCCTATCTCCACGTCCCAATTCATTTGGCCTTTCGCAAATTTCTTCGATTCTGCCATGCGTCTCGTCACAACCAGTATCGGGCTCTCCCATTCGGTCTTTCCTCAGCTCCTCGAGTGTTCACCAAATTGATGGCAGCACTGGCGGCCCATCTTCGAGTGATTCCTATCCGGATTCAGTTCTATTTGGACAATCTCCTGATCCAGTCCAGCTCGGAACGACTAGCGCTGCAGGACCTGAACACCACCATTCAGGTCCTGAGGAACCACGGGTTCTCCGTCAACGAGGCCAAGAGCCATCTGGTACCGACGACTCACATTCAACATCTCGGGGCAGTGATAGACACCATCCAGAGCAGGGTGTATCTTTCCCAGGAGTCGCCTGACCAGTTTGCGGTCACTGGTCAGGCAGGTCTCATCGGGACAGCCCGTTCCCATACGGCCTCTATCTCAGCTCCTCGGGAAGATGGTATCTTGCATAGGCATTGTACCATGGGCTTGCCTTCACTGCAGGGCTCTGCAGTGGTTCCTACTCCCATACCAGCGGACTCAGAGGAGCTCCTCGGAACTCCTCGTTCGTGTTCCCCCCAAGATCTTACTTTCGTTGCATTGGTGGGTCTGGACCCTTGGCCCAGCTCTGGCCAAGGGTCAATGCTTCAAGGAACCCCAGTTGACAGTGCTCATGACAGATGCCAGCCTTTACGCCTGGGGTGCCCACCTGAGAACCCATTTTGGTCAGGGTCGTTGGACTCAGACCAAC